GGTCACTTCCTTTCTATTTATGATTGGTTAGTTGCATAAACAACAAAGGTGATTGGTGCATTCAAACTATTCAACAGGAAGTTTACAATTATACTAGGAAGTGTATGAATATTTCGAGGAACTTGATGAAATGAATTTGTCAGCCCGAGATAATGTATTGAATCAATATTTGAGGAACACTTCAACTGGAACGACAGTAAGATATCGTGTTGCAATCGGCAACACTTAAGCGTGAGCCTGCGTTCAGTGTCGGCCATTTCTGAATACTTCATGTTAATTTAATGTTTGGGAAATATTAGCAAGGGGTTACTGCATGCATGTTTTTCTAGTAAAGTATAAAAATTTTCAGATGAATGTACAAAAGTTCTCAGCCTCAGGGAAATGCGCATATCAGACATTATACATACAAACACGACTTGAGCATTTTCAAAGGCCCATGAGTTAAGCAATGGGCACTAGAAAAAAAATTGAAATCCATTTTATGAAATTTGCAATTGCACCGCGAAATCTATAGTATGTACATACTATTTCGATACTATATCCTTGGTATGGAAATATACAATTATTATGGATAATCAAAATCCATTCTATTTCCAGTAAAGGTCTATACAATTTCCATTTTATGACCTTCTATGGATTTTCAAATTTTCTTCCAGTGGGGGTAACAGAAATATTTATAAAAATTTTTGTAACACGAACATCGTCACAGATTATTCTATAAACCACGGCATAAACACTGATATGTAGCACAACGTACCATTTACTTAGTCTTGGAGTTAAGGAATACTAAATAAGTTGTTTCAGCACAAATTGTTTCCAATTTGCATAGGAACCTTTTCAATTAGATAGAATCATAAATTTTGTTAAGTTTTGAATCAGCCAATATGACATGGACACAAACTTTTGTATTAGTATTGCACGTTTATTTAATTCGATTAAAAAACAGGAGGGAGATTAAAAAGTTTGTTTACTAAGGAATGTGCTTATTGAGAAGAGGAACTTATTTGGAAAGGTCTTTTAGTAAGGGAGTACTATAGTAAAATAATTCCAAATGAATTATCGGAAATTGTCAGTATCTTTTTAATTAGTCGTAGGATATGTAAACACGCGTTAACGTTGTTTAATTTAGGATTCTTCTTCTGGAACTGCTTATTCTGGAGCTTCCAAAAATGTTGGTGGTGACCTAACGGTAAGTAACAACATTTTGCTTTGTGTTGTCCATGATTATTGCAAGGTAGGAATTAGCATTCTTGACGTTTTTCATGTGTATAATAATAAGACTAGATAAGAAAATGGTATAAGTAAAAGTAAGAGCCATGAAAAAAATTACCATTATCATGAGTGCGTTCAGGAAATTGTTGCCAGCCATCGCCAACAAGATTATTCAGCGGGTGCAGTATAACAAGTAGAGACACCGGTTTTTTAGTCTATTTACGAAATAGTTTGTGGGCCGTCTAATACACTCAGTTACTTCAAGTTTGTCTAATAAAAATTTTCCTTAACTTACATATATTAGTGCTGGAGTCTAATCCAGTTCTAGTTACATAGTTAAAAGGAAGTTAGAGCACTAAATAGATTGATTCAATAAACAGTAGTTTCAAATTTAGATAGCAAAATGGGGTGCTTAATTTGATGGAATAGGATCTTCACTAGGCCTAAGTTCTGTTTGAAACATACCAAAATTACATGCGGCGGAAACATTTTTGTTTATATAATTAAATTTAATTAAAAAAGGGGGAAGGGTTTGAAAAGTTCTTTGGTGTTCCTTGGAGAGAGGAATTTATTTGAGTGATGTCCTATTTAATTGATGGACTGAATAAAAAATTTACAGTTACAATAAGTAAATAATTGCAAATAAATTATCAGAAAAATAATCTCTATATGCCATTCTAGGATTCCTCTTTAGGAACTGTTCATTCTGGAGCTTCCACAAATGTTAGGAGTGATTTAGCAGTAAGTTATAACGGTTTCCTTTGTGTCGATCGTCGACTATTGTTGCAAAGTAGGAATTAGCATTGTTGACATTATATTACGCGAATACTAAAACTTGATAAGTCTGTTATTGCTTATATGAACGCATTGTTAAGCCCCTGTGACATAGTAAAACTGGATTCAAAGCACTTTTCGTAGTTATAAAAATGTTTCCAGAAGAGTGTCTTCTTTGCAAAGTTTACGACGAATAAGAATTATTATTTACTGTAGATCACAAACGACATATGCTTAAAATCCGGTGTAAGTTAGTCACCATAATTGCAACATTTAATTGATCTCCATAAGCCACGCAGAAGGGCTAAAGCGCAAACCCGTGGCAAAGACAGCCTACTAATTTCGCTTGGCTATTTATATCTGTGCAATAAAAACCCACAAAGCAAAGTGCTAAGTGTGGCACTGCCACAATCCATACATTAACAATCCATAAGATATTTTCAAAAGCGTTATAATTAACTATAGCGTTTTCCTAATTGTCTATCGTTCGAGTAAAAATATTGTATTTATAAATGATTATCTCTCTCTATATATATAACAAATTTCGAATTTTTCCTTTAGACGAATATACGTTATACCAACATGAAGCAGAATTTTGCCTGGACGATGTTAATTCCATTAATTGTTCTGTTGGGTCAAGTTTTCACAAACACACAAAACAATGGTATGCCAATTGAACACTTTTAATATTCTAAGTAAAATATCTTTATGGCTATCTTTTAAGAATGCAGCGGTTGTAGGATCATTATAGAAATAAGCACTAATGGTGAATGGTTGTATATCTTATACTATACGGGCGCGAATGCTTTATACTGTATCTTGCAAGTTTTAATGTGCTTCATTCTTTACAAAATTGTGTAATTCGCAACGCCAGAGACTTATATAGTTGAGTCAAAGTTGTTTGGTATAGGGTACAGTGGACCGTTCGCCTAACCTGGGATAACTTTAAAACACAGAATATATAGTCGTCTCAGACATTTGGACTGACAAGTATCAGATCGTGAAATTTAAATAGAGAATGTAGTTTTTAGAATTTGACGATCGTTGAAAACGCCACTCGTGCATGTTTTAACCAAATTACGTTTCAAACTATCGTATTGTTTATAAAACGAGAGTAATAATTATCCATGAAAACTTTAGAGTCACATCTAAACAAAGGAGGACAAAATAGGTAAAACATATATTACCTGAATTCTTATATTTATTTCCTGTAGATTTATATGGCAAGATTTGCCATGAATGTTTGACGAAAAACGTCGAGTGGTACGCTCTTGCTGGTGCTATGAATATATCCAGAGGATACAGAGACAATGATGATCTTTCTCGAGCTGAGAAAATCCTATCGATTTTCAACCACAGAGAAGGTTTCTCGCGCAAAAATCTGGCTCACTGCTTGGAAGAAATTCAGCAGTTAGAGTTAGTTCGACCAGTTACAACTGGGGGTTCGAGGAGTTTGTCTTATCCCGCAGCAGCTGAAGAATGGGACTACATCTCAATGTCGATACCAATGGAACGTCGCAGTAAAGGTGAGATATTTTTCTATATAGAACATTCTGATTGTTTATTTTTATTTGTTATTTACATTGATTGACATTACAACCTTTAGAGAGGTATTGTATTAAACAGTGCACTATCCAAAGATTTCGAATAATTTACCCTGTTGATTAGTTGTAATAAGGCAGTTCATTGTTTTAACTGCGCTTTCAAGAGGCCTGTTCTGAGTGGAGATACAATTTGAATTTTGTCATTTCCAGAAGATTTAAAATATGCGCATAAAGTTTTCATTGCGTGGTCTTTATATCTTTTTTACTAACTAGGAAGGTCCATGTTTCTCGTTAATAGGGAAAAAATTTAGATTTGTTCATCTTGTTTGTTTTGGTTCTTCTGGACTAAATATTTACAAATTAAAACGTTCTTGTATGACGTTTCGTTTTCGTCTGCCAAAACTATTAGGCTATTGTTAGTTAACTGCTTATATTAGATTTTGCTTCTAAAAAAAATGTGAATTGAAAATGGAAAATTTAGGTATTTGTAATTTTATTTAAATATTTTATCGTTGAATTTGCCTTGAATAAATGCCTTCAGTTGGTGGTGGCAAACATAAGCGTGCGAGGCTGATGCTTTCCAGGAGGGCGGTGGAAAGTTTGCCCGAATTCTTATGGAGGATTGTAATACAATTACCTGAATTTAATCTATTTTCTAATAAAAATTTAACCTATTTTCTAATAAATCTGCAGTTGACCCCCCCCCCCCTCCCTCTGCCCCCTCTCTCGTACGCCTACGGTAGCAAAGTCAGCGGTTGAGGGCTAGCGCAGTTGTGTATTTATTGACATCTTTTTGAAAAGTCGCAGTAGATTACATTAAATTAAGGCTTTTGTATAGATGGAAATTTCGGATGTAAATTAATTTTTATACATTTTTAGACCTAACCAAAAGCAGCTGCAAAATTCCCACTTGCAAAAACTCATCAAGATTTAGTTCTATCGAGTGAGGCACCCAAACTCCCCATAAATCCCTGTAGCATTTTAAGCCGGACAGAAAGTTGCCTTTTTTCCAACTGTTACAGTTTTGGTCTTAAATATGTAAATAATTATTCGCTCGAAATCTTAATTCACAAAAATCTCTCGTGCATACAGGGTTGTTAATTGTGCAGTTTCTTTCATTCCAGTTGCCTCAATCTGTCCAGTCGTGGGAAAGAAAATCATTACCGTTAAAAGAAATGCGATACTGACTGCCGACATTTTGCTTAACATCAGTTCTAGTTGTCTGGCTAAGGACACAGAAAATACATTGAAAAACGATGATCAGAACTTTGCCTTCAAGTCAAGCTCATTGCTGAACTTAAGAACAGTCAAAGCTACTTCGCCCATTGTGGAATTCTCCACAGACGTCTTGAATTTCTCAAAACCAGCAATTCCTACGATTAGATTTGAAAAAACCGTTTCGGATTCCGAACTTTTCATCCTTGATGGTTCTTACACGTGGAGCTACCAGAGGACCGTAAAGGAAGTGTCGACGAATTTTACCGGAAGCAAAAATTCTCGGCGGGTTGTTAGCCCTAAAATTAATAGTTTCTATCTTCATAGCCAAATTTTGTCGTGGCACGGAAAATTACCCCGACTCTTGAGTCATTTCGATCGCTCCTTCACTGTTCGTGCGGATACCTTCAATCGCAGATTACCTTCAAAGGGTACTGAAAATCTTTCGTGTGAGTTTGTGCACGAGAAGAAAGAAGAAATTATTAAACAATTAAAAGTTCATTTTGAACCATGTTACGTTGGTGGAAAAAAAGGAATGTTGACGCGTGTACATACAGACCGTTGTCCTAAAGTGGCAAGTGGAATAAGGAAGATACGGGAAGTACATCGAAATGCTGAAAATAAATTTTTGTGGAGGTTGGATGTTCTTCTGATGGAAGAGGAGATTAATGTGGAAGAAGCTTGTGGTAATTTGAAATTTTTCCCTTTTTTTTTAAAGAATATAGGTCGGAATTAATATAGTATTAATTAAAGAATATAGGTCGGGTTTAAGGATATATAATGAAAGAATATAGGTCGGGTTTAAGGAATATCGGTATCTTTGTATTGCCTTACTGTATATATTGCACAACATTGCAATATACGGTAGATGCACTTATCGCGCTGCTCCTTGGCAGGTATAGGTACACTAACTGCGTTGACTTGACACAGTTAAAAATTTATATCAGTAGAATTTGTTGGTTTTCACCTGTGGTTTGAAGGAATACGTCAATTGGTTGTTAAGCGGGTCAGTTTTATGAACACAAATAAATAAGTGCAAAAATACAACACAAAAGCACTTCCTTTAAACATGGTTATCCCACAGCCTGCCAAATGCATATTTGTCACAGATTTCATATACAGGGTGTCCCAAAAAAATGTTCCCTGTCATATTTGGTGGTATTACTTCGCTACATTTAACCAACGGTTCAATTTTTTGCAGTGGATTGAAAAACAGTAATATTGTATTAATCGTAGCATTTATCTCACCAAAAGACTTAAACGTTCGCCTTCTAGAGATAGTTAAGGTGGCGACACCAAT